CGTTTACCAGTTTACAAGCAGAAGAAGTCTCATGCGGGTAAAGCATCAGCAGTGCTACAACACATAAGAAATGTTTTCCAAATTGCATTGTTAATCATTTTTCTTACCATTTTTAATCAGTTTTGTCCATTTTGTTTTTGTAAAGCTGCTTCCGACCACCAACATCCTTAATTTATTATCTTAGGTAAGGCGAGATCTCATACTTATAGTAATTGTGCTTATGCAATGGCAAGGTCATATAAAGCTATAAAGATCAGTACTCTGTATCAGCCGATCACTATGACAAGGAATCGATACTCGGTATCTAGCTACAGCCCCAGCCGGCAACTTTCTGATGTTTTTTTTCCTCTTTTTTTTTTTTTTAAATATTTCTTTCTAATATATTTTTAGCATTACGTGTTAAATAACTACTTCCACCTTTATTTGTTGCTCATACGGGGTTAGACCCCCTTTTCCTGTTTGAGCTGCATTAATAGCTCTATTAATTGTACCTTGAAGAGTTTCAACAACCATACTATTGATTTAGGTATATATTGACACAATAGTATTATGCAGTCACTCTAGATTTATGGGCTGCACATCCATGATGCAAATCTCCTGTTCCAGCACATCCCAAAGGTGCTCTAATAATGGACTGAGAGCTGGTGGAGGCCAATTATATTGAACTATTTGCAGATGATTTGAGCTTTGTGACAGGGCTTCCTGCTGCAAGCATCCATGGCAAGATGGGAACACTGGTCATAAAGGCATGTACATTGTCAGTAACAATACTGTGATGTATGAACAGAAAATTCTGCCATAAAGTTCCATTACACCATTCCGGGTTTTTAATTGAACATCAGATTCTGACTCTGCCATCTTAATGTTACATCACAAATCATCAGATCAGGCAAGTGCGTTGTGTTGTTCTATGACCAATGTCCTCTTTTGTTGCTTATCTGCTTTAACATTCGACATGCTGAATTTTCAGAGATGCTCCTGTGCAAACCTCAGTTGTAACAAGTGATTGTTTGAATTGAAGTTGCCTTTCTATCAACACGAACCACTCTGATCATTCTCATATAACCTCTGCCATCAAAAAGGTGTTTTCACCCACACAACTGGATAGATGTAATGGACTTTTTTTTTGCTGACTATTGTGTAAACCCTGGAGATGATTGAGCGTGAAATCTCCAGTAGATCAGCAGTTTCTTAAATGCTCAGACCAGCCAGTATGACACCAACAATCACAGTGCTTTTTTCACATTATTCACAAATTTTTCTGCTATTCTGATGCTTATGTTTGACAACTCTGATTATTTTGACCATGTTTGACCACAGGCCTAAATGCAAGTTCTGCGAGTTCTGCCATGTGCTTGGTTCAAATATTCTATTAAACCAGAATAGGTGCATCTAATGAAGTTGACGGTGAGTGTGTTTGTTTAACCATTTGTTTTTTTTATTGCCTATTCATTCCCTTCTTCCCTTGTGACCCATTTTCTTTTTTTTCCCAACAGTGAGCAGAGGGTTAACTCTGAAGCCAAGTGGAACAGCTTTTTTCATAACGAGGACACAGGCAGTGGATTGAGAGTGAGGCGGTGAAAGGCTGAACCTTTGAGGCACTGCGGAAAAAACTGTAAGATCCAAAACCTCGCTCTATCACCATGACTTAGGTGGAAAAAATTCACAAACCACAGTTGTTTTAAAGCAGGTGGCAAAAGACCTCAACACACAAATCATGCTGTAGACTCAAGGTTTTGTTTCTTTTGATGCCATTTCCTTGCGCACTTGCAAATGGTATACAGTCGGATTAGTGTGACAAAAGAGATGTGGAGTAGCATCCTCCATTTTATTGTGCTCATGTGTGAGGCAGGCAGTAGCCTGCTTGATTCATCTGTGCATTCTTCTCTTTTTGAATTATTCAGTAATCCTTTCCTACACCCAACCATCCTTCCTCCATCCCTCCCACCTTCCTGTGCATGTAATGTTACTTAACATTTAGAGTTTTGAATGGTAAAATCAACCCTTCCATCTGTGTAGATAGCTACTCCAGCCACATCTGATCATGCTATGGATAATTCTTATGTTGTATTCATAAATTAATCGGTTATAAAAAAAAAATGCTGTTCAATTAAGATGTCATATCAAAGGGATAGTTCACCCAAACGTTTTTTTTTTCCTTTTTAAACATCAATGAAGATATTTAAAAAAAAATTAAATTGTTTTTATCGTTATTTTTTTTTCTAATTGAATTAGTGTACACCATTTTTTTAAAGCTGCATTCTTGTTTAGTTTTGTCTAGAGTAAATGTCAGATTAAAATTATTAATCAAAACAGTTTGGAGGGAAATTTAGTTTTTTGTATTTACTCAAATTTGTTTTGCGACATGCATAGATGGTATCAGGCACATCTATCAAATGTAAATCTGACTACATTTTATTAAATCTGAGAAAAGGTTCTGTGATGAAAGACATTGGAGACTGCTGGGAATCTTTAAGAGTTTGAGTTAAAAAACAGTCAGTTAGTACAGAGATAATAGATGAAAAAGGAAATGTATGGGAGAGTTTTGGAAACACCTGGTGCTATAAAACAAAGTAAATGGTAGGAGTGGTGAAAGCTTGATGGCAACATTGGATGGAAATCTTAAGAGACAAAGTGAAGAGTTTTTAGCTGGAAGTTAATAGCACAATTTAATTAACATTGAAGGACTTCAAAATAAAGAAATACCTTTCCTAGAAATATTTGTCCAGTTAGCGGGAGTTTAGAGACAAAGTGGTAGAGCAACAGACAAGGCTTTGTATTGGAGATTGTTTTGGAAATATCAGGATAAAAATGCACATATGTTGTCTACTGCACCATTAGACTACAAGGTCTCAGCAGCATTAATATTGTTGAGAGACTGTTCTGGCTAAATGGCAATGACAACAAATTTTATAATTTGTCTTACATGTTACAAGTTGCAATGCAATGAATGTCTTGCATGCTATGAATTCAATCTCATATGCACGTATTTCAAACATGTGACAGCACACATTCTATGCTCAATTAACTGAGCTGAAGATAGAGCTGGTTACATAAATGCGTTCCAGTTTACACTTGGTATTGATGAAAGTGTTAGGCACAAATCAGATTTAAAGAATAAAATTGAAAACCTTAATTTAATTTATTTTCTTTGGTGATTTTGTCTTGAAACACAATTGAAATCTGTGCTGTTTCAATGTCATAGTGACATGGAACATTACATCCTACTTTTTGACGTGTTGGTGTTTAGTACACTTTTTTGAGACTGAATGTCCTTCTTTTTCTTTCTTCTTTTCTTTCTTTTCTCAATCCTTCCTGACAGTAGGTGTACTGAATGACTCTTCTATCTGAGCGATTGCATGCTTTTAACAGAGCGATGCATTCATACCTGACAAGTCTTGTCACCTATCCAAGTTTTAGCAACAACAAATAATAACTTGACTTCTTGTTGATCATTTGGTATCAGAAGTAGCTTATAAAGGCAAAGGCCTCTGGATTACACTTATTTTACCAAAATAAAACATAACCATGTCTTGATTTTTAATTTATTAATTAGGTCAGAAAGGTCCGACATTGCTTAGACAAAAGTCTTGTCACTTACCAGAAATAATGTACAGTATAGAATATAAAGTCATGCTGCAGTGGAAAAAGAATTAATATTGTGTACGACTCCCATAAGCTTGCAGGGCTGCATCCATACATCTCTGCAATGACTCAAATAACTTATTAAAGTAATCTGGAATGGCAAAGAAAGCGTTCGTGCAGGACTCCCAGAGTTCATCAGAATGCCTTCTTCTTCATCTTACCCCAGACATGCTCAATAATGCTCATATCTGGTGACCAGGCTGGCCAATCCTGGAACACCTTGACCTTCTTTGCTGTCAGGAACTTTGATGTTAAGCCTGAAGTATGAGAAGGAGTGCTATCCTGCTGAAGAATTTGCCCTCTCCTGTGATTTGTAATGTAATGTGCAGCACAAATGTCTTGATACCTCAGGCTGTCAATGTTACTATACACTCCACAGCTCTTTCACACATCCCCATACTGAACTTTATTTTTTTTTCTCACCAAACTTGACTGAGAATCTTAGGTTCATGCGGTTTCCAATAGGTCTTCTGCAGTATTTGTGATGATTGGGATGCAATCTATGTAGACTTGAGTCTGTACAAATAAACATGTTCATATGTATTTTTTATAATAATAATTCAATTAGCTGTGCATTTTTTGGTGCATTTAATCACAGCATTTGTACCTATTAAGGATCCTTAAGTAAGCATATAAGATGTGCCTTATTGTAGAAAAACTGATTTTACTCATTTGTTTTACCTTGATTTTGTAAAAAAGCTTCCATGGAGAATAGTTTTTTTCCCACCCAATGTTTTGGTTTTAATTAGAGCTCACTAAGCATTATCTGCATTTCTCACCAGGCATATTTTCTATCTTGCCTTTCCAAAGTTATTAAGTGGTTCACTCCTCTTCAGATGAATTTACAGCTTGTGATTTCTGTCTTAACAGTTGTCTCTTTCAGCAGAGCTGAAGTTTCTTGTCCTGCCCATTTCAAAAGGCGCGTTTGCTCATAAAGCCGCTATTGCTGTTTTCCTCTGCCAGCTTCACCCTATGCTGCAGTTTTCTTTCTTTTGTCTCGCACATAATGAATTTAGCCCGAGTTCACATTATTGCTTTGTGCAGAACGTGTAGCCTGATGTATTTTTCATTTCATCTCTTCTCTTCTTTCATGCCATCATCAGAAACCGCCATAGTCTGTCAAAGGCATCTTCTACTCAGCCAAGAGTCTAGAACTCCTCACAACATCAAAGAAAGCTGGAGAGAAAGGGAGCGGGTAGGAGGGGTCTTCTGCCTTGTATCTAGGTTCTGATGGAGAAGACGACGGAGGAGAGGGGGAGGGGCAAAAGTGATTGAGAGAGAGAGAAAGAGAGAGAGAGAGAGAGAGAAAGGTAGGTATGGAGGGAGGGAAACAAGAGGATGAGAGAGGATTGCAGCCAACCAACCAGCTGAAAGAGAACGAGCGATCAGGGCTGTTTGAACGTGGCAGGGAGAAAAGGAGGGAGGAGGGAGAGAGCGTGAGAGAGAGAGAAAGAGAGAGAGGGTGAAATCGATTGTCAGAACCAAGGAAATAGAAGTGTTACTATTGCACGGCCACTGGAACGGTGTCTGCCAGCTGAGGATATGCATTGGCTCCCAGCGCTCACCGGCTCACGGGACACACTCTAAAATGTAATTTCCAAAGGCCTAATTGTTGCCGCGGTGATTTTATTTTCCTCCATTTCATTTTTCTTTCTTTTTTGGTTTATTTGCCCTCTCTCCTCTTCTCTTTTCGCCGTTATTGTGTGTTTTTTTTTAATCGCCTGCTGCTGCTTTTTTTTTTTTAGCCAGCTGCTGGATTTTCCCCTTCTTTTATAACTGCTATCATTCTCTCCATTTACAAAGGAGGGATCTACAAATAAAGGCAACCACAGCAAGACAGTAAGTGGGGCTTATTTCTCTTGACGCCTGTGCCGGGGGGAATGCATGGAACAGGAGGCTGGTGAAACTGTGCGGAGGACGAGGGATGAATGGATCTGGGTTTTAAGAGTACATGCTGGCTGGTGATTTGCCATTCAAAGTTGAGCCATTCACATCTTTCACAATTAGCTATTGGGAAACTGAGGTAGCCCCTGCATGTGCTGTATCTGCTGTAAAGAGTGAATGATGCGAGTAGGTTGGTGTTGCTTATTAGATGTATATTGGTTGCAGCGTGTGTATCATACAGGGAATTCAGCTCATCCATTAAAGATGCTGAGGTTTCATTTAAAACAGGAGGTGCATGAAGCACAGCAAGAATAGATTCACACTGCATCTGCAGATAGTAAGTTTTTTTGATGTTTTACATGAGAGCTTGGCAACGAAATAGATCCTTATGATAAAAATGGCAAGTGCACTATGCAAATTGGTTCTTTGTGCAGAGTATATTGTGCTCTTCTCCTCTGTTTTTTAAAGAGAAGCCTCATATGCAGTATCCTGTCACTCCCTGAAACACACCCACCCACATACATTGGCATGCAAGCAGACTTACTCACCCAGCAGTGCTAACGGACTGATCTGCAAGCGTGGCAGCTCTTGTATGACTGCTGCTCTTAAATGGCACATCGGTTTTCTTTCCTGTTCACTGCATTTTGTTCTTTCTCGCCAGCATATGCAATGCATGATGCAATTTGCTGTTAAAGCAGTAGTCACCCAAAAGGAAATTCCTGTCATTGATTATTCACTCACATCGTTGTTTCAAAATTTTTGTTACTTTTTAAAAATTTTGTGGGAAACAAAGGGAGAATTATTAAATATTATCCCTGTTGTCTTAAAGTGTATCACACATTTAGTCTGTTTCTGCACTGTATCAAGCCATAAAATAGCTTTTTGTGTCAGATCCAAAATTTAAGTGATTATTCACTGATAATCTTGTTCACAAATCGTTCTGCCAAGATTTTGTAAAGCTTATATTAACTGATTACTCAAAGTCAATTGTTGCACAAATTCCTAAAAATGTCGAGACCAAACGTCATATTCTCACGCCTTAAAAAGGGATCGAATTCCCAATTGAATTTACTCACCCTCTGGTCCTCAATGTGTTGGTGACTTTTGGTTAACGAGAAGATAAACCCTGTCCTATGATGGTTCATAAAATGCAAGTCAATTGCTACCAATACTTTGTGAGTCAAAAAACAACAACAACCCCCTCTTCCCCAAAACAAAGAAAAAATATATACAGGCAAAACAAAAATAACTTAGACTATACATTAAGGTCTTATGAAAAAGATCAGCCTGTTTCGTGTAATGCGAGTTCAGACTCCATGATTTTAGTCCAGATTTTGACTCGCTGACAGGTTTTGAGAAATCGGTGCTCGTTCACGTGAGTAGCAGTCACAGAGTGTGAACTGTCCAAGAAGCGATCTGACTGTTTCGCAGATGGGTCACTGACACCTGAGATATTTGGCATGCTAAATATATGGAGCTGTCAGCAATTCAAATCATGCTGTGTGAAATGTGTTCTGATTGAAAACAACATTGGCGATTACCTACAGCCAGTGAGAGAGCAGCATCCACTAGTATGGGTATCTGCAGGCCAGCAGGAGGTTGGGGGAGAAGTTAAAAACGCTGATTTTCAGTTTATTTGGACCCAAGAAAAGGATGAAAAACTAGTGTAAATTTGGCAGGAGCACCGTGTCTGTTTGACGTGTCATCTGAGCAATATCACAACTGGCTCGAAAATGAATAAAGTTTGAGAGAAATTGCTAATTCCATTCAAAAGCCAGGCGAGCAAAATAAGTACATAAGTCTACCCCACTAAGGGCTTCTTTTTCATTATGTAGTTAATAACAAAAGATATTCATCTTTTGTTATTATCATCCTCATGTTGTTTCATTGCCTCTTCTCGTGTGTCTTTGGTTGTAAGACGTAGTTTGGACAAAGTTGATGTTGATTCTTTTTATTGTAAAGTCATGCCCTGTGGCCGATCTATCTTACAGTGTAAACGAAGCACAGACGGAACGTTAGCCCAGATAGTCATGCAGTGTGAAAACATCTGTGACTCGATTACTTTGAAAATTTTGCAGACTAAACTCGGCATAAGTGACACACTCTCTCCTCTTCGTATGCACAAGACACTTTTTTACTCCATGATTTGTGCAATTCTGAGTGTGCTTCATGCTGGTGACTGGGCTTAACGGACCACTTGCACTAGCACATTTCTAAACATAATAGTTTTAATAACTCATTTCTGACAACTGGTTTATTTTATCTTTGCCATGATGACAGTAAATAATATTTGACTAGATATTTTTCAAGACATTACAGCTTAAAGTGACATTAAAATGCTAATAACATTGACCTTAAAATGTTTTAAAAAAAATTTAAAACTGCTTTTATTCTAGCCAAAATAAAATTCTCCAAAAGAAATAATATCATTAAACATACTGTGAAAATTTCCTTGCACCGTAAAACATCATTTGGGAAATATTTAAAAAAAGAAAAGAAAAAAAAGCAAAGGGGGTTTAATAATTCTGATTGCAACTCTAAATCCATTATGACAAATATGCAGATGCAAATGTGCATAGGCTGACACTTGCAAAATTGTAGAAGGATTGCAGCATGCAGAAGAATCACAAGTACCATTCTGATGAGCAAAACAACACACATTTTTTTATCCATTTCAGTTTGTTTGTATGTTTGTTTTTCTGCTTTCATAGAGCCAGTATTTGTTTACTTGCATTTTTTTAATTACTAAGGCCAGGGTTTCAGCCCAAAATAATCTTTAATCATTTACTGAACAAGTTGCCTACATAAGATGGCCTAATGATGGCTATAACAGCCCATTTCTTTTCAATTCCCATATTCTGAAGCATGATGTTTACAATTTCATATGCAGACTATTGCTCTTGAATCAGGTGGACCACTTTCATAATGCGTCTGTGATCTTTTTGACTTTTAAAAGCTTTATAATCCATTAAATAAAAATTAACATGAGATGATTTAAAAAATCCGTCTTGCATCAAAGAACATGCAAGTGCAATTACTTTAAAAACAGTGTGAGGATTGGAAAATGACGGCAGTTTCCATTTTATGCTAACTTTGCTTTCTACTATGTTTATTTGCTACATGCTATTTACCAGTTTAATATGTAGTACAAATCTTATAAGTAGATTACGTACTTTTCAAGCAATTCCAGTAATCACACCTTTTGCTACAGGTTGTTCTCCGCCCCCACACACACACATACACACTGTTGCTCAGACAACCCACTGAATGCCCCTTAAGCAGACAGAAAACTCCTCTTCTCTTGGCTTGTAAGTGTCACAAGTGAATGGTGCCACTGGAAACGTCTCTTTTACTTAGATCTTAAGAAATCTTGAGGCACCAGCAGTGTATGTGCATGTGCTGTTACACAGGACTGTGTGTTGATTTAGTTAGGGACTGTCCTCTGCCATTATCTGCTGAATCTATTATTAGAAGGCTTTATTTCTTGTGTATATCCTCCTCTAAACCCAGAAGAAGAAAATTGTTGCAGGTCGTTGTTGTGGTCACCCGTAATTACATGATATATGTATTTCTAGCTGGTTATTGAGAGAGAGAGAAACGTGGGGGAGGGAAAAATAAGTAATGAATCCAAAGACAAAAGAAGCTTTGTGTTTAATTATTTCCTCCAGCTGGTAAAAATGTGGTGCATGACAGTATAAAGGGCATTTTTGGAAAAAAGTTAATTTAGATTGGATTATTTTATTGTCTTGCTTTACAGTACAATAATAAAAACAACAGTACATTTATAGAGAAAGCTTAGGGCTTTATTTTAACGATCTAGGTGCAAACTCTAAAACGCATGACGCAAAAGCATTAAGGGTGTGTCTGAATCCACTTGCAATTGCAATTCTAAGGATAGCGCATTGTCTAACAGGGTTGTGCTTATTCTCTTAATGAGTTATGGGTGTGTTTTGAGCATAATGTGCATTACATCATTCAAAGTCTAATCTCCCATTCCCTTTTAGAGTCAGTCGGGTCATGCCATGGTGCATTTGCTATTTACATGGTGAACTTTGTAAGTGGGAAAAACTCAATGCTTTACTAGTGAGAAAAATGCTAAAAATACCATCTGCAGTGAGAGGATAAAGAACACACCTGCTCCATTTGGCCTCTACTTTCTCTTTACTTTATTTTTACTCTTTACTTTACTCCCTTACTTTTTTGGATAAGGTAACGGTGTTGTATGCACTCCAATGAAGACATCCATTAGTCTAAATATTTAATTTGGTTTGTTAAGCACAAAGATTTATTTTAAGAATATTTCTAAATTCAGTACTAATTTCAAGCAAAGTTAAAAATGTACAAAAATAACGAAGTGTGGTCAAAACAGAACAGTTATATCCAAACACACGTCCTATTCGTATGCCCTATATGGTCAAAAACCCAACAGGTAGACCAAAACGAAACTATTTTTTATTAAAACAAATATAAACATGCATATAATAAATAATACTGCTAATAATAATAATAAAATTATACAAAAGCAATCTGTCATGAATAAACTGAAAAAAGTTCTCCCGAGATGGAGGCAGTGGTTTTTATATCTATGCAGTAAATAATAATTTTTGTAAAATTTAAAATCTTTAATTTTTTTTAAATGTAAAGATATTTGTGTATTGCTTTACATCTTGTGTGTATAAATCAATGTGTAGGCATTTGGACGCATAGGCGCACAACTAACGCACTCTGCTGGACTTTAGACCAGCTTTCAGTTGGTCAACAGCATGGTCTATTTCAGTTCCTCAAAATAGCAACTCTCCAACAATGTGCCTTAACACACCTCCTTTCTAAACCAGCACAATCATGAGTCCAAAAGTTGCGAAAATGGATTTGCTATTTAAACAACGTGGTGCAAAACATGAAAATTAGGGTTGCACTGGTCTCAAAATATCAACAAAACCCATCTTGCGCCTTTT